CCCACAAAACAAACCCTAAAACAAAAACACAAAGACAGTGTAGCTAATGGATCTTGAAAGGATAAAATTCTGTGGGGCTCCTGCAAGCCAAGGAGCTGAAGGGATGAATGTGGGAGGGGTGTGACAGCATAGTGCCAGGCCTTAGATGGAGTTCCTATAGACCTTTTATCTATGTTCAGGACACCCAATCCAGAATGAGTTTGTGGAGGTTCTTCATGGAGGTGGTTTCAGTGCTTCTGAGATCCACAGAGCAGCTGGGGCAAGATGTTCGTTAGATGCTGGTCTGGTGGTTCTGTGGGTTTGAAAGGTCTGGAGACGAGCCTTCCTTAATCAAGCCACCAAAGTGCTGCCCCAAAATGGCACAGCTGACCCTGGCCTCACATTAGTGTGGCTCCAGATCATGTGGCTCTGAACACCTGGAGAGCAGAGTCTGAGCTGGGAGTGGATGACTGGGAAATGTGGAGGAAAATAAGGAATGTTTCCTGTCCTGTCTCATGTGTGAATCTGCTGGCCAGGTCACAATATGTTGCCAAAGCTGCTCCCAAGGTAATTGTGTCACATCTGGCTGGCCATTCATCAGTCAGTCTCCCTCTCTCTCAGTCCCTGCTCAGCTTCTCCTCCAATCATGCACTTAGTCCGGTTCTCTAACCTTTCCTCTGAAGTTCAGGGTTCTAGAAATTTCATCTGTGTCTGTTTCATTTGGTCTCTCCTATCTTTATTGTAGATGGTCTGTGTAGAACTTCTGCCTAGTCCACCATCTTGCCAGAAGTCCAATAAACGACATTTTAAAATGCAATCAATGAAGCTATACTTTATTCTTTACAGTCAGTGCTTTAAGTTCTATAACTTAAAGCACTTCTACAAGCGCTATAGGATGGGGGGAGGGCAGTAGGGATCAGAATACAGAAAGTCAAGGTGCAATAATCATACATAATAGATAAAATATCTTCAGCCAGACTTGCCAAATTTGATTTATGTTAATAAAAGATCAGACTTTGTTCTACTGACTTTTCTTTGGTTCTACTGATTTAGATATATTGACTTAAAGTCAATTCAGAACCATGCACAGTGTTTTCATTTAATTCCTTCATCCATTTAACTATTTGTTAAATAACCATGTTTTGGCAGGCATTGTTGATAAGCTTGAGACATGTGTTTTTGAGTGAGTTTTTAGGCAGACACTCATACCTTGCTCACATCTCTACATGTATATGCTGGGAGTGTGGGACCAGGGGTGGATGGTAGATAAAAGATGACTGAAAAACAATTGTTATACTAGGGGGGGCATGTTGTCATTGTTAAGTGCAGTCGGGTTGGTTCTTACTCATAACAACCTGCTATCGATTTTCTGAGGAGAAGCTGGTGGGTTTGAACTAACCACCTTGTGGTTCACAGGCAGTGCTGATCCTACCGTGCCATACCATAGGACTTACATATTTTGTTTTATTTTTAGTTGTAAAATGGTTTTATTTATATGTTTCTGTCTCATTAAAATAGTGCTTATTTCATTATAAGTATGAGAAACTGAAAAATATAATATTATCTAACCTTGTACTAGCAAGTAATTTTAATTTAAAAGCCCCAAAGCTTCCAACAAAGAAACTCAAGAAAAATACAGAGAACCTAAAGAAGAAAACTAGACTAGATTTCTGTCAGCATTTGTATTTGAAAACATTCTCAAGGGTTGGAACTAAGTTTAAATTCTGCACTTTCTAGATGTTATCTTGAGTAAATAAACTAGAATTCAAGAAACAGAACTCCTGTTTCTTCGACTCAAGCCCTCCACTGAGGCTGCCAATGAGCTATGGAGGCCAACATTGATTTCACAAAGATAGTTCTGTAACTGATTATCAATTTGATTATTGTAATTTAAAGTATTGTGACCATTTCTGTTATACTTTTTCACAGACAGTGTGTAAGTCTGAGTATTTCAAGTCAGAATAATGATCATATTGAATGTTTGCAATTCTATAAGTTTCTCCTGAGAACAAGAGTTGCATTTTTAAATATCAATTTTCTTGCTTCTGTGAATTTTCATTTATTACCTATATAACATGACCAGTGCATAAATCTTTTCTTTGGAAATTAAAACCAAAATGTGGAAGAATTAAATGCTGGTGACCTGATGATGAAAGTTGAATGGTGCCACTCTGTGAGGAAATATTACATTCACACTTTACCATGTCCAATTTCCTGATAGAAAGCAGAACATTAAGAGAGGGAAAATAAGAATAGAAAGGAAACTGCTTATGAAAGATAAAAATGGAAATAAATAGTGCAAACATGAATAAGAAGTTAGTTTGATGAAAGGTTTATACAGGCTTCATGTTACAAAGCAGGAAAAATTTCATAAAAATTAAGGTAGAGATGATACTTAGTAGCACAATGAAACTGTGCTATTAAAACAAAAGAGCACAAAAATGTATTGATAAGTAAAATAAATGAACTTGCCATTATTTTGGTTGTCAAAATTTCATGACAAAATGGTAATAATTTTCAGAGCATTACAGTGTGCCTGAAGACACTTTCTTTTTTTATATTCATGCCATTTTATACCACTTTACAATATCAAAGTAGAGGCTTAGGGAGATGAAGTATCTTGCCTACATTCACAGAGCAGGTAATGAAGTAGAGGTGGGCTTTTAATACATTTCTGTCTGCATCCCAGAACACACATTTATAGATGTGCTCCAGTCAGCTCTCACAGGCTTACTCAGATTCCCAACTGCACCACTAGTGAGGTCTTGTTGGTAGCTAGAAATTGGACATGATGGGAATATTTATACCATGAAAATGAGTAGTAAACACTACAAACTAAGGATTTGCCCAGATAGCCAGTTTACCAATCCAACACGCCAGACATTTGCTGCTTTCCACTGTGACACAATATTTAAAAAAAGACATTTTTACACTCATGAAGTTTTCTTTGTGTTTGAACCCCTTAGATTCTTGTCGTAGCAGAATCAGAAGAGATTCCAGTGAACGAAGACCTTATAATTCATTTAGGTGTTACTAGAAATAAGATCATGACAGCTCAATATGAATGTTACCAAAAAATTATGCAAGACCCCATTCAACAAACTGAAGGTAAATGTGACTAATGTTTAAATACATTTGACATATTCTTAAAAGAAAACTATTCTATTAAAGCATTCTGAGTATGTAACGTCTATGATTATATGTACGTTAAATACTAGTTTTTCTGGTGTTTTTAACATAGTCCAGATAATAGCAGGTTATCTGAGGTTAAGTAATTATGTAGTGTATTACCTAGTAATTAAAATATTTTAATTAAATTCTAGATTTATGAATATCAATTAAAATATTTAAATTAAATTCTGTATCAATAGATCCTGATTCTTAAATTACTCCGTTTAAAACTGTGGCATTAGTTTGATGTTGCTACGTGCCATCAAGTTGATTAAGACTCTTAGTGACCCTGTATATAAGGATTTCATAGAAAACTAGTTCTGTAGTCAAATACATTTAGGATCACTGCATAGCACATCTTCTTCTTGAGGTATTATAATGCATTTGAAATACTCCAACAAATCTGCAATAGCAAACTGTCCTTATTTTAACTTAGTGTCTCCTAAATCTGTTTGACCCCAGAAACTTTTTAATGGACTATTTAGTTAATCATTATGGCTAAGGCGAATCAGGAAAGATGAGCTGATTTACTGAAAAAATTACAATTATCATTTTTTTTAATGTTTTACTATGAATTATGTGATAGTTTACATGGGAGAACATTAGTTTTACATTCATCCTATCGTATATTGTTTCATTGGCATAGTTACAATCCCCTCCATGCATCATCAACCATCCAAAGGGCATACCTTACAAGACTGCCCCCTGATCATCAGCACACAACCCCTCTCCTTCTCTGTGTCTAAAGTCCCCAGCTGTCCCATCTCTCCATGTCTTTGCCTCCATCTCAGTTATCACTGCTTCTCTGGGTAGAGTCCCGCTTGCTCTCCGGTCTTCTCCCTTGATGGTCCTAGGGACCTCCGCTCCTAGACTGCAAAGTTAATCACCCCCCTCCTTGCTACAAAATGTCTACATTTACATTTCCAATCCTCACAGTCAGTCCTGATAGCAATTATTCACTATTGCATCTCAAGAGACCTATCCACATTTCCTTTCATCATCCCCACCTAGACCGATTGGATACTACTCAGTGGAGATTCTATCTTCCTCCACACCCTCTGGATCTAGGTTCCCTCTTGAAAGCTTGTAAACCAGTCACTTCTTGCCTTTGTAGTTCCTCTGTTTTGGTTAGCCAATGTCCAAGTTGCCCATCCCTGTCTACTCTGTAGGAATGATCCTTGCTGTAAAAATTTGTTCCCTCTTCATAGACATTTTTAAGAGTTAAAATTTAAACTAAACTAGATAGATAGAATTAATTACCTATCAAAAAATATTTTCTGATTCAACTCCAAGAATTTAAAATAAGGTGGAAAATAAAATATTGAAAAACTTTTGGGAAAAATGTTTAGTGTTTTTGTCATTCATAAAAAATAAATTGAAAAATGTAGCACAATGCATTCATTCACTAATAAATAGTCTAAATTTAAGGTATAGTCAATTATCTAGCTTTGATTGAAATTTATGATTATAGAGTTCATAGTAGCCAGAGAATGTTAACATTTTAGATATAATTATCACCAATGCATTGTGATCATATCCTTTGGATAACCTGTTCAACTAAGGAATGAAATGAGTTGAATAAGTTGTTCTAAGGCTGTAAGAAAATGTATACTATTTCTATTTTCAGTTGTTCCACATACAATTGGTGAGATAGATTTGAGCCCTGGTGGTGTTTGGCTATGAACCAAAAGTTCTTGGTGCTTGGCTGTGAACCAAAAGGTCAAATGTTAAAACCCACCAGTGGCTCCACAGGATAAAAGACCCAGAAATCTGCTCCAGTAAAGATTCCAGTTTAGGAAACTCTATGGTGCAGTTCTACCATGTCATAGATGGTTGCTATGACTTGGAATCCATTTGAGGATACACACCACCACCACCACCACCATACTACTTTGGTTAATATATTTCTTGGATTTTTTCAAGTAGTGTCTGTATAGGCCTGAACTCAATATGTATTAAATTCTAGGAACCAGGGAACTTAGTCAAACATCCATGAGACAGTCACAGACTTAAAAATTTATTTGATAAGTCACATATGGACATTCTGTTTTGGGATATAAAGTCTATTCCACTTTTGTAGGAATAATAACCAATAGTAATTTCTACTATTATAAATATATATACATTTATATAAATATCCCTTCACAATTAAGTTTCTTGGTTGGCATTTTAGTAAATTTAAGTTTTAGTTACATTTGAGATACTAAGAAGTGTACTTTTAAGTTTACAAAATTAAAATAGTGAGTATTGAAGTATTGTTTCAAGTTCCTGTCAAACACTTCTGATGTAATTTAATGTAGTCCTGGTGTGGCCCTGTAAGAAAAGCACTGGACTGCTAACCTAAAGGTTAGTGGTTCAAACCTACCAGTTGCTCCTAGGAAACCCTATACAGGGTCTCTATGAGTTGGAACTGACTCAATGGCACTTAACAACAACAACAAAACATATCATTTAATATTTATTTTAAGAATGAGAAACAGTCTTTGCAGTTTATTACATTATAATGAAATGTGTTTTCAACCAACTAGAGTTGAAATTCATTTGTAACATTCGAAGGTGTTTTGTTTACCAGTAGTATGTTGTTGTTAAGTACCATAGTTAGTATGTTATGAAGTACCATTGATCCAGTTCCGACCCATAGTGACCTTGTATAGAGTTTCCAACAAGCAGCTGGTGAGCTTGAACTGCTGACTTTGCAATTCATACTGACTTTATATACTTATGTCCTTAAAAAATGAAATGTTCATTTATAGTTTTTCTTTTTCAGGTTTTGTATTTTTTTCTAATAGTCCTAAACTTAAGTTAGAAATTATTTTAATAAATTGTGTTCCATCAAATGGATTCTGACCCCTGGTGCCCTAGGGCAGAATAGAACTGTCCCATAGAGTTTTGTGACTGCATCCTTTCTGAGAACAACTCACCAAGTCTTTTCTCCCTGAATTCTGCTGGTGGATTCAGCCACCCACCTTTTAGTTAATAGTTGAGTGCTGAATGGTTGTGCTGCCAAGAGTCCTTATTGAATAGTTATAAAATGCAAACCAAACCCAATGCCACCTGTGAGTTAGGATCACTGTGAGGTACTATCTACTCATAGTGAGCCTATAGTGCAGAGGAGAAATGCCTCATAATGGTTTCCAAGACTTTAATATTTAAGGAGGCAAACTGCCACAACTTTCTCCTGTGGAGATACCAGTGGGTTCAAATTTCCGACCGTTCTCATTTAGCAGTCATGTTTTTTAGCCATTGGACCACTGGGGCTCATTATTTTAATAATTACTGGTTGAAAAATCCAAATAATTGCTAGAAACTCTAAATGATGTCTCCATTTTCAGTTGTTGTTGTATGTCCTCGAGTCGGTTGGGACTCATAGTGATCTCATATAGGGTTTCTGAGGAGCAGCTGGTAGGTTTGGACCACCAATCTTTTGGTTAGAAATTCAATGCTTATCCTACAGTGCCATACCAGGACTCATTTTCATTTATTGTTGTTAAGTGTCCTCGAGTCTGTTCCGACTCATAGTGACCTTGTGTAGAGTTTCTGAGGAACAACTGTTGGATTAGAACCTTCTACCTTGAAATTAAAACTGACTCTGCAGTCCCAAGCATTATCCTGCAACACCACACCAGTACTCCTCATTTTCAGTTGTTGTTGTTAATTCTGTCAAGTCAGTTCTGACACATAGCGACCCTGTGTAGGGTTTCCAAGCAGCAGCTGGTGAACTTGAACCACTGATCTTGCAGTTCAAATGTCTTTGAAGTCCAGCGCATGTCTTTATTACACATCAGCATAAAATCATCTTAAAACCTTTATGTCTTCATGTGTAACTCAGGGTGTGCTTAGATATTCCTAACTAAGTTTACATTTTACTTTCTTTTTTAAGGACTTTATTGCAATAGAACCTGGGATGGATGGAGGTGCTGGAATGATGTAGCAGCAGGAACTATATCTATGCAGCATTGTCCTGATTACTTTCAAGACTTTGACCCTTCAGGTGAAAGCAACAATTTACATACATCTCCTAAAATCTATTAAATAATCCCTTGGTTAATTATATTATGTTTCTAGCATTCCATTTAATTTTTTTTTCTTTTAAAATTTTAAAAATAAAGCAAAGGTTACAAAGATTTGTAACTCTGATGGAAACTGGTTTAGACATCCAGAAAGCAACAGAACATGGACAAATTATACCCAGTGTACTCTGAACACACAGGAGAAAGTGAAGGTAGGTAAAAATTGAGAGTGAAATATAATTTGCACTATCTGTTTGAAAAGTTATTTCTCTAATATGTTGTGGTTGTTAAGTGCCGTCAAGTCAGTTCCAACTCATAGCGATCCTGTATAGGGTTTCCGAGGAGCAGCTGATGAGCTTGTACTGCCAACCTTCAGTTCAAACCAACTTTTTCAGTCCCACGCATTAACCCACTCCTTATCTAATACAGTACTGGAAAAAAATTTACCCTGTGTTCCTTTCCATTTTAAAGAAATTTTAACAGGATAATTTGAGAATGACAATGGAAAACAAACAAACAACAAAAAAAAAAACCCCAACTTTGTTGAAAGCATTATTATGGATTCTATCATTATACTGAGGAAGCTAGCCTGTTAAGTAATAGTACAACAGCATATATAAGTCAATGTCTCAATATTGGGGTATTAACTTTGCAAAGAAAACATATTCTAAAATATAAGAAAATAAATTTTAAAAAGTCCTTTTATCTGTAGTTGAATTTCTAGAATGACCTTCAGAAATTTTACTCAAGTAAACAAGATTAGTGCAGTAGGATTTAAACAGTTCTGTCAGCTTGTGAAGCAAAGAAGTCTCATTCTGACAAGCTTTTCAAAAGTTACTTTTACTTATATTCCCACTTTTATCACCATGCAGGGTCACTATGAGTTAGAACAAACTCTAAGACACTTAACAGCAACAATTAAAGTCAAAGTTAAGCTTAGTTTGTTAAGACGATAAACATTTGGTACGAAACATCTATGTATATTTGCATGTGCATATATATGCATGTGTGGTATTTTGTATGCTGTTTTGTCAGTTTCACAACTGTGAGTTCTGATAGTATGACTACAAGTTTCTACCCATTTACCAAGTATGTAATCTGTTTCTAGTTCAGCTCAAGTATAAAATGGGGATAACAATAGATTCCACTCTCAAGTTTTCGTAAGAATTGATTTAATATAAGGAAAATTCTAAGAAGACCACCTGTCATAGAGTAAGAGCTTGATGAAAATTGGAAGTCACGAAATTATTATTATTAATATATGCCCTACTTCCTTCAGTGAAGCATTTCAAAAGTATTATAATACTATACAGCAAAACTCTGAGTTACAAATACATAAGATTCAGACAAAAATATAACAGATTTAAAAAAGTAGTAGGAAGCTAGATCATTTATAAAGGTCATTGTGTTTGTTGTTGTTAGTGCCATCAAGTTCGGTCCGACTGTATAGGGTTTCTGAGGAGTGGTTGATGAGTTTGAACCACCAACTTTGTAGTTCAAACTGACCTTGAGGTCCAGTGCTTATCCTACAGAACCACACCAGGACTCATAGGATCTGTAAGTTACTACTTGAGATTTGTATCTGAATCTCACATTTGTCAAAAATAAGAGAAAGTCAGGCACAAATAAAGCCTTATCTGGAATTTAGGTCTGAACTCAATCACAATTAACATTGGATATGAGGCACAACAAGTGACAGAGTAAAAATGTCAGTGTTTCCCAAAATATAAAATGTTTGCTTTATATATTATGCACCCTAAACCAATGAAGGGAGTCCTGGTGTGGCGCTGTGGGCTAATGTGTCAGACTTCGAAGTCATTTGAACTGCAAGGTCGGTGATTCAAGCTCACCAGCTGCTCCTTGGAAACCCTATACAGAGTCGCTATGGGTCGGAATCGACTCCATGGTACTTAACAACAACAACACACCAACTAAATGATTATTTCATGCATTTCATATGTCTCCTAATTTCTTAAATAAAAAGGGTGTATTATTTTATAAATTTTGATGAACTACATGGTAATTTGCATGGATAGTTTTCACTGCAGATAAAATCAAGTATTTATTATTTGACAAGCCATTCATTGTAAGGTTATTGTCATTTATTGTGTCATTTATTTTTAAATCTACTATATTTAATTGAATTTGAGCATTTGCACATATAATATTTTAAGTACTTATACTGTTGAATTGAGCTTTAATTTTTATCCATACAAATAAGTTGTGTTTTATTTATACAAATTACAGACTGCAATGAATTTATTTTACCTGACTATAATTGGACATGGATTATCTATTGCATCACTACTTATCTCACTTGGCATATTCTTTTATTTCAAGTAAGTACATTTAAATTCTTTAAAAATTTTTACAAATAGGCCTTGGTGAATGCAATATCATATGCATGTTATAGCCTGTGCTCGTAAAATACACTAAATACAGATGATTTATAATGCTTAATAGTAAATGCTGAAGTTAATTTAAACTTATCTTGGTTTTGCAAACATGTAGAGAAGAGGTTGATGAATCTAATATTATAAAAATTAGTAGATATGTAAAATGAATTCTTGTAATAAGACTGGACCAGCACCAGTGAAAGCTGTATGTCTTTGTTTAGAAATTAACAACTGTTGTTGTTAAGTGCTGTGGAGTTGGTTCTGACTCACAGCAACCCTGTATAAAGTTTCCAAGAAGCAGCTGGTGGGTTGGAATCACCAACCTTATGGTTACCAGCCCTGTGCGTATCCAGTGGTGCCACACAAGGTAGCAATGGATTCTAGTCCAACTCATGGTGACCCCAGGAATGCAGAGTAGAATGAGTTCACAGGGTTTCCAAAGCTTTGCCTTAGCAGCAGCAGATCACCAAACTTGTCTTTACAGATACTTCTTGGTGGACTCCACTACCAGTCTTTAGACTAGTCATTGAATATGTAATCATTTGTGCACACAGGAACTTTGTTAAGTATCATGTTGTTGTTGTTAGGTTCCAGTAAGTTGATTTTTGATTCATAATGACCCCATATAACAGAGCAGAGCTGCCCCATCTGTTTGCTAGGCTGTAATCTTTATGGGAGTAGATCATCAGGTTTTAGTAGATTTAAAGCTCTAACCTTTTGGTCATCAGCCAAACGCTTAAATCTTTCACCACCAGAGATCCTTCTTTCAACTATTGTAGACGTTCTTAGTTGAAATTTCAACTTCATGGTCAATTTACTATTAGTTATACATGGCAATTATAGAAACCAGAAATCTTTAAGAAAACACCAATGACATTCAAAATACATTATTAAAAATATAATATGAATATAATCTGGTAGGGTTTTTTTCTGGTTTGTTGTGTTAGGTGCCGTCAAGTTGACTCCAACTCATTGAGCCTCTGTACATAACAGAATGAAACACTGCTTGATTTGATGCCATCTCACAATTGCTGTTATATTTGAACCCACTGTTGCAGCCACTGTATCTGTCCACCTTTGAGCGTTGTTCTTTTTTTCACTGACCCTCTGTTTTACCAAGTATGATATTTTCCAAGTACTAGTTCTTCCTGATAACATATCCAAAGTAGGTGAGGTGGTCTCAAAATCCTTTATCCTAAAGGGCATTCTAGAGTCCTTGGGTGGTGCTGTGGGATCAAGCACTGGACCAAGGGTTGGTTTGAATCACAAGGTCTGTGTTTCAAACTCACCAGTCACTCCTTGGAAACCCTATATAGGGTAGCTATGAGTCAGAATCAACTTCACTGCACTTAACAACAAAGGGGCATTCTGGCTCTATATCCAGTGCACATTTATTTTATTTTGTTTTCCAGAAATTTATGGTATTTTCAATACTCTTCACAAACCTCCTAATGCAAATATATCTATTCTTTTGTGGTCTTCCTTATTCATTGTCTAACTTTCCTATTCATATGAGGCAATTGAAAATACCATGGTTTGCTCAGGCTCACTTTAGTCCTCAAAGTGACATCTTTGCTCTTCAACACTTTAAAGAGGTCTTTTGCAGCAGATTTGCCCAAGGCAACAGTTCCTTTGTTTTCTTGACTGCTGCTTCCAAGAGTGTTGATTGTGGATCCAAGTAAAATGAAATCCTTGACCATTTTAGTATTTTCTCACTTTATTGTCATGTTATCTATTGGTTAATTTATGAAGATTTTTGTTGTCTTTATGATGAGTTTTAATCTATATTGAAGGCTGTCTTTGATCTTTATCAGTAAGTACTTCAAGTCCTCTTTGTTTTCAGCAAGCAAGGTGTCCATATGCCTATCTCAGGTTGTTAATTAGTTTTTTTAGAATCCTGATGCCGTGGTCTTCTTCAAACAGTCCACCTCCCTGGATTATTTGCTTAGCATACAGGTTGAATATGTTTGGTGAAAGGATACAACCATGACACACACTTTCCTGATTTTAAATCATGCAGTATCTCCTTGTTCTGTTCAATTAATAAGGTTTAAATATATTTTCTAATTTTACTGAAATGTACATTTGTGCTTTTTAGCTTGAAAGCCAGCTTCTATTTCTTCATTTAACCAATCAGCAAAGTAATTAAAAATTTTATGGAAAAGTCAGCTTCAAAGCATGCATTGTTTTATCAATTGGCTTAACATGGTTCTTGTAATTTTGGTCATCACCATTAATTGTAGAATGAAATGCGGCACTAACAATACCTATATTTTATATATTGTCTTCTTGATCACCAGCAGCAGCATTATCAGCATCATCGTTATAGTCATTGGCCACTGTAGAGTATTACCAGCTGAAGAACTATAATAATTTTGTGTAAGAAAACTATGTGTACCCCATCAGAATAATCTAATCCAGAAATTGTAAGATAGTTGGACTTTAGGCACATATCAGGAGTACCAGTTTATATTCAAGAATCCATCAATAAACTGTTTTCAAAATCTATGCATTAATCAAGAAGTCAGATATGTAGTTAATGAAAATTACATATTTACTAGAGTCCTGGTTTGGTGCTGTAGGATAAGCACTGGACTGTGAGGTTGGTTTGAATCACAAGGTCGGTGGTTCAAAGTCACCAGTCACTCCTTAGAAACCCAATATAGGGTAGATAAGAGTCAGAACTGACCCAGTAGCACTTAACAACAACACATATGTATTGCACACACACACAAATGCACAGTAAGGATTAATTGGAGTGTAATTAGTATCAATGGACTCAAGCATGGCAATGGTAGTGAGGTTGGTCCAGGATTGGGCAGTGTTTTGTTTTGCTGTGCATAGGGTTTCTATGAGTCGGTACAAACTCGATGGCACCTAACAACAACAACAAATTAATATTGGTTGGTTGTGTGCTACTGAGTGGGTGCTGATTCATAGTGACCCTATAGAGGGTTTCTGAAGCTGTAAGTCTTTACAGGAGCAGAAAGCCTCATCTTTCTCCCACAGAGCAACTGGTAGATTTGAACTGCTAAACTTTCAGTTAGCAGCCCAGTTCATAATCCATTACACTTATACTAGCTAAAATATTGTTTAATATAATGTCCTTACAATTATGATTAAGTAGCTCAGCTTCTATACTACAGGTAAAAAATATAAATCATGAATGTTATTTGAAGACCGTTTTGCCAAGTCTTCTAGGAGAAAAATTGGCAATATTTAAATTTATCTATTTTCAGTAAAAATTACAATCCTTAAATTATAAACAAAGAGCTATATAGGCTTGATAAATAATAACATCTCTATGTTGCTGGAAGATTGAGAATATTTTTTAAATATAAAATAATACAAACAATTTTTAAAATAAAAAAACACTTATAATTCTAATATCCTATCAATAAATATCTTCTATTTTTCCAATTTTACAAAATAATCATTTGTTCTGACACAGTCTGTCAAGTGAAAAGTATTTTTACCTTTTTTTCATAACTTAGTATTTTATATATTTTCTATGTTGCTACAGTGTTTTCAAACAAACACTTGAAATGACTGAAAAATATTCATTTGAAAGTTTTAGTAAAGTTTTTTTTATATAATTCTTCTATTTTCAACACTAACATTGCATACATTTTTTTTCTGTTAATACAAAACATTCTAGTGAACATTTTCAACTGTAACTCTTCCCATGTTTTTTTTTTTTTAGTTTATTTAGTCTACATTCCCAGAGTTTGGGGATTACTTGATTAAAGATCTTTTGATGGCTCTTGAAATTCATCGTTTAAAAAGAATCTCAAAATATAACTACTCTTTCCTCACCCAAAGTTGGTCTTCTTCTAGAGTGACCCATGTTAGCAGACAGCATCACCAGCAACCCAACTGCCTTAATCAGAATTTAGGGGTGATCTGTGACACCTTCTTCTCCCTTGTTTTATCAATCTAACCTCATACCTCGTAGATTTTACCTCCTGCAATCCCTCTAATCTGTCTACTTCCCTTGATCTTGTATTACCACCACCTTGTTCTCTTTGGATTTCTGTTTCAATACCGTTCACTTTCACCCTTTCTTCAGTCAATTCTCCACATTATAGCCTAAACAGTATTTTTACAGATATAGAAAAACTATAGATATTTTTCCATGCCTCATTTTGCAATTTTACCTTATTGCAACTCACTGGTTCAAATGGTTACCATGTCAATTGCTAACAAAAAGGCTGTAGATCTGAGTCCACCCAAAGGTACTTCAGAAGAATGGCATGGGTATCTACTTTCTAAAAATTAACCATTGAGACTCATGGATTACAGTTCCACTCTGACACACATGGGGTTACCAAGAGTTAGAGTCAACCTGACTGCAGCTATTTAAACTATTTTATTGTAATTCCTGTATTACAAAACTAATTTGCCTATCTTAGTACTTAATACTGTTTTGTCTGCCTGTTGTCTTCCCTGCTAATCTGCTTAAATATGCTCATCTCTCATACATATTCTACTCCATAATTTCCTCAGCTAAATCTTCCTGGATTCCTAGTTGCAGTACATTTGAAACTAACTAATTGCATTGTATAATGTATGAATTTTCAATTACCATTTGGGAACTGCCATTGCTGCAGATTTTAAATGAATATAAATTAGACTCTTCCCATTAAAAAACAACAAAAAACCTCTGTATTTTGCATATAATAAGCCAAAATGTCCTAGCTCATTAAATATCTGAAACACAAGACTTGAAGAAGAATGTTGTTGCTATTCTTGTGAAGTGCCAGTCCAGTCAATTCTGCCTCATAATGACCCTATATAGGTTTTCTAAGGAATGGCTTTTTGGTTGAAACCACCAGCCTTGTAGCTAGCAGTCCAGTGCTTATCCTATAGTTGTGCACTAGGATCACAAAGCAGAATATTATTTATTATATTTTATATTGTGATAAAGGGAATGTGGTGGTTAA